TTGGTTGCTTGACAGTCGTTTTTCTAAATAGTTTGGAAGCTGGAAATATGGAGCTGGAGTTTATTTGGTAGTGCATTTGTGCATAAATTAATATTATTAAAGATGCTGCTATTAAGTTGGGAATCAAAATTCTAGCTGGTCTTCATCCTCTCTAGCTTGTTTTTATTTTGAACTGGTTTTTCTGGGACTATGATGATCTGGTTATAATTGTTTTAATTGATTGCTTGGCAACAAATTGTTCATAAAATTTGGGAGGTCAGCAACCTAAGGAATATGGTTATTTACATACATACCATTTTATTTCATGCTATTTATATATCTAACACCTAAAATATTAATATAACATGCCTATCATCCGTAAAACAAATTTTGATGCATGAAATGAAATGTTAAAGTTTATAGGATGGCAAGAATGATAGAAATAAATCATAGGAGTGATATATTTGATATTAAAGTTGTATATGAGTAGTAAGCATATAATATAAATATTTTGGATATTACATATGTAAATAACATGAAATGAAGTGGTATGTACGTAAATCTTACTTTTGTTTTTTTTGGAAAATTTGCGCACCAAATGGAAATACATTACGAGGCATCCTATATATAGGTACATCCAAAAAATATTCCAGCATCTAGAGGGGAACACAAAGGTTGATTCAACTTCAGGAAAAAAGAAGTAGCAACCACATTTGTGGAATCAGGCGCATTTAGAATAAGTCCAAGATATTAGTGGATAATCTCCTACTATTCCTTTCTTTCCAAATAAAGTAGATAGAACAGCACGTGAGAAGAAGATCCACTCACAGAGATGAAGGATCATAGGTCTATGAAGAAGACTCTTATAGGAAGACATGAGTTCAGTTATAACAACAAAGGAGTAAGAGCATTCAAAAAATATGTGTGATACACTTTCAGGGCGGTCATGACACAAGCTGTAGATTAACGAAACATTATTTTTTCATTTTTACAAAATGTTTGCAATTTTTAAACCCCCAACAAGAGCAAACCATGTATAACACGAGTATCTCAATGCTGATTTGGAATGCTAAACTAGATTATACCAGGTGCACATAGGAAAATGAGAGTAGAAATCATTGATATAATTCCCAAAATTGTTGTTAACCTGGTTCCCCCAAAATAAACAGAAGATAGTGCTTTCAAGAATAGGTATCCCATTAATATCATTGCAAAAAGAAGGGGGCATATGATCAGGAAGGCCCATACCCTTCCCGAAATGAAACTCCTAAGAAGAGAATCATAATGGGTGCCATTGAGCAATAAGTGGCCTTCAAGAGATTCCTCTAACTTGCCATTATAATACCAGTGGTCCTAGTGCAAAGATATAGGTGCTTGGGGAGTAACTCTAAAGTGGAAATTAGCCTTAGTAGTAACAACCGTGTTACACACTATTTTCCAAAAAATCGAAGCATAATTAGGCGCGGGATGCCATGGGGAAGTATATCTACTAGTGAGCCAAGAAGATAAAGGAGACTTAGTGTTATACATCATGAGTATAACAGAATAGTTGAAAGCAAATTGGATAGCTATCAATGAAGGCAGACCCAACCCCCATTTTGCTTATGCTTGCATATCGTGTCCCATAAAACCATATGTGTTTTTTACCAGCAGCCGGATCCCCAAAAAATAGGAACTTATAGCAAGTTTTCTTGAAGAATTTAATGACATTTTTTTTGTAAAATAGCTCCACGTATCCAATAATCAATAGAGTTCACAATGGTGTATTTCAAGAATTGCAAACGGCCTGCAAACGATAGAAGAATTGGCTTTTTAGCCAGACAAATTTTTTGAGGCATTATCCATAAGGGGCATAAAATCAGATATATTTAGCCTATTAAAGGACAATGGGATCCCCATGTAAGAAATTTTTGGACTGATAATATGAATTGAAAGCGCTTGACAAATAACTTCCGAGTTAGTCAAGTTCCTAGGCAGCATAGCAAAGCTTTTGTCTAAGTTAACATGTAGGCTAGTGGCATTTGTAAAAGAATTCAGGATGCCTGTCAATTTGTTACAATTCTCTATAGTAGCATCACCAAAAACTAGCACATCGTCTGCATAAAGAAGGTGTGAGAGAGTGACCCCATCCAAAGAGATCCCTTTGAAGCCCCCATCATCTAACATAGTAGAGAAATCATCCATAGGCAAACAAAAAAGATAAGGGCTGAGGGGACATCCCTGCCTTAGGCCAGCAAAAGAAGAGAAAAAACCTTCAAGGGCACCATTGATCACAATAGAGAAGTTCACATCGGTTATACAAGCTTTAATCCAACTCACAAAAATATTTGGGAATCCTTTCTGGATCAATCTAGCAATCAGAAATTTCCTAGAAATAATGTAAAAAGCTTTACTGATATCTAATTTGGAATAAAAATACTTAATGCCTCCCCTTTTGCGGGCAAGAGAAAGAACTTCATTAGCAAGTAAGATGTTTTCCGTAGACACCCTAGACTTGATAAAACCTGATTGGTTATCTTTGACAATCATTGGCATGATAGGCTTATTCATGTTGGCAATAACAATTTCAATAATTTTGTAGAGAGTGTTGCACAAAGCTACAAGCATAAAATCAAAGAAAGACTACATTTTTGTTTTTAGGTATAAGAGCAAGAGACGTGGCTTTAACACCACTAGGAAGACACCCTTTCGAGAAAAAGGATCTCACTGCTTTGCAAACCATATGACCAATAATATGCCATCCATATTTATAAAAGTGGAAGTTAAACCCATCCGATCCTAGAGTTGAGGATGAAGTCCCCAAAAAAATTGCCTTTCTAATCTCCTCATTAGAGACAATTTGAGTGGTATAGTTAGCAGGAAATGCTACACCATTGGGAAACAAACTAACATCCAAGTTGGAAGGAGTAGGATTGTATATAGCTTGAAAGTGCTAAATGATAGTATTAATCACATCATATCTGTCAGAGTTAGGGGAGGTGGCAAGCAAGTTTACAGCTGCCTTACTGCTACCCTGCCTGCTTCTTATTTTTTGCATATAGAAATTTGGGATATTCTTCTCCATATTTAAGACATTTTACTTTTGCTCTTTGTATAATCCAGGAAGCAAGAATAATAGGGAATTCAGAAAGTTTGTGTTTAATTTCTTTCAGAGAGGCATTAAGTATATGATCATTCAGATCATCATGAATCTTCCCCATACAATCCATTTGCTGATTGTGTAACTTATCAAGGAGAGAATTGATCATAGAGGAGTGATCCTAGACCTCCAATTTAATATTACACTTTATCTATTTAAGAGTATGACATAAATGAGACATAGAGTTCCCAGTAGAAGGCTTAGAAAAAAGCTTCTAAAAGTAAAGTACAATATTTATCAATATCCATCCAGTAATTTTTGAAGAGAGATCTATGATAAGATTGTTGGGCTACTCTAGAGTGCAAAACCATGGGACCATGATCTGAGCAGGATGGGCTTTGAAAGGAGCAAAAAGAGCTGGGGTATGAATTCATCCAGGCATTATTTATAAGAACCCTGTCTAGTTTAATATGAATCAGATTATCAGATCGTTGATTAAACCAAGTATAAGTGCATCCCACTGATTGAATGTCCATTAAATAATTCTCAAAAATCATTGAATTAAAGTTCACTAAAGAACATTGAGAGAGAGCAAGGACCCCAATTTTTTAGATTCATAATGATAAAAGTTAAAGTCCCCCATAAGAATCCACGGAACATCTTGGGATGGAGCAATCTGATTAATATGAGACCAAAGATCTTTTCTTTCAGCACTGCTTAATAGAGGCATAAATAACTATGAGTTGGAATGGGGGGAAGGAGGCAGCCACGATAGAACCTAAAATGAGCTGAGCAGAAATGTGAGTTGGGGAAAATTTAATCTTGTTGAGATTCCATTTAACCCAAATATGCCCTAAAGAAGATTGTCTAAAGTTGTTATTGATATTTTCATTGGGAAAAATATAGTGTGATCTTTCGAAAAAAGGATTCTAGAGAGATGCAGAATGAATCCTAGTCTCTAATATACAGAGCATATCCAGTTTGAACGACTTAGACAGTCATTTACAACACAAAATTTTATCAGGCCAGTTATACCCCCTGATATTCGATCCCGCAATGGACGGTAATAACATTAAGAAATAGAGTAGAGAGGGGGCTTTTTGGCATGCTTCCCCCTAGATAATTTTTTGGTCATGACAAGGTTATAATTCTGCTGAGCAGTTTGCTGGGTCTTATGGGATTTCATAACCAATTCATCATAGATAGAAGAGTCAAGAGGTTTACTGTGTTATGACTGTGTTTGAAGGACTTCAAATTTGTTTGATGAAATGACACCAGGGGCGAAGCCGCAAATTGACTTTGAGATGAAACAAGTTGAAGAAGAAGTTTCCCCTGGAATGGGGGAATTGAGTTTGGAGATAATATTGTGCTCATATTCGAGGACATCAGTGTTATTAAGGGGAATATTATACGCTGAATTAGAGGATTGTTTCATGGAAAGTTTTTGAGGTGGAGGAGAGTGTGATTGGTAGTGAAGGGGCTGGGTGGACGGGCCGTAGCAACCATGGTGGAAGGATTTCCAGATTCTTCAGTTTGAGGTTTAGAGGGACATAAAGCAGAATAATGAACATGAGACTTACAGTGCTCACATGAAGTTGGTCTCCATTCGTAATGGACCTTCAATCCGACAACATCTTCGTCAATGGAGACCAATATTTCCCCCGGATACGTCGCATTACTATCCACAAGCACACACAATTGAGCAAAAGTGATGCGGATCTTTTGAGCAGTAAGAGAGTCAGTGGCAAGAGGTACCCCTACCTTACTCGTAATTCTTGAGATCCCCTCCGAATATCAACAAGCCAGTGGAAGGTCGTGGATTTTTATCCAAATAGGGACATAAGTTAATTTTTCTATCTTCGGCTTAAACTTTGGATGTCATTTTTTGCAGAACAAAATGCTTATCACCGTACACCTTTAGACCATGCCATTGCCAAATCTTCCGAGCAGAAAAACCTAAATATAAAAAAATGATCGCTGAGAGACAACAACTTAATCAACCTTTGAGGATCCAGATTTTCTTGAAGCCACCAAGCAAGGCCTCGTAATATAACCTACGACCAATGGAGTAACTGTCGAGATAAAGGCTCAAATCTTCAGCCCCTTTGGTCAATTTGTCACCAGAAAAAAGAATAATTTCCGGTTTCGAGAGGAAATAGAAATGGTGAAGGTCACTAGAAGGTAGTTCATCGGGAGAAAAAACTGCTTTCCAATTGCGTTGTGGAGGGGAAGAAGCTCCACCACCGGAGGAGACGAGTGGAGGAAAGTCAGAGTGGAGTAAGGAAGTTTCCATGGAGGAGAAATGGGGGTGGAGCCGGAGGGAAGAAAGAGGCCGGGTAGAACCGGTAGAGTGGAGGAAAAAATCCTAGCTCGACCTCCTGTGTGTTGTATGTTTCTTTTTTTCTGGTATAAATCTCACTATTTTCTTTCCTCTTAATTCCTTCGGTCCATGCACAGAGGCCAAATAGTATATGGAAGAAGTTAGACAGGAAGGAGTAGAAATCCAGATAAGAGGACGACGGAATGCTCGAGGGTTTATTGCGCTTAGGAGAAGCGATCGGAGCTGTCGAGCTGCCAGGAAGGAGCAGCTTCTCGAGCAGGTACTCGTGTGATTTGAAGGAGTTAGGGCATCGTCGATCTTCCTTCTTCCGAAAGCTTTGCGAGGAAGAAAGATATTGTGCGGTGCTCTACTCATCATTACAATTTGCTGCAGATCTGCTTCATTTTGAACTCGATGAGATCTTGACGTCAAATTTGATGTCTGTGACAACGAATTTCATGCTTGAGGTATTTTTTTGGGCGAATCATGCAGAAATGTTGTAATTTTGGTGGGTGCTCTTTGCTAGGGTTAAGGGGCTGTTTGGTATCGGATTTACAGCGGTATTTAAGTCGGATTTAAGCTAAATCCAGCCAAACAGTTTTTGTGCGCGCGTTAAATCCCGGGATTCGGTAAATCCCGGATTTACGAAATTACGGCTTAAATCCGGGATTTACTAAATCCCTCAGTTCGGTGGATTTAACAAGATTTAAAGTTAGGCGGAAAACTTACCCGCGGCGCCCGTGTCGTGAAGCTCTACCATTGCCCTTATTTGCCGAAAGGAATGAAGCCAGCGCTCTACCCCGTCGCCTCAATCTCTCCGATTTTTCTTCTTCTTCCCCAGAGCGTTGCTCCGACTCATCCTCTCCCATATTTCTTCTTCTTCCCCAGGTTGTTGCTCCGACTGAAACCTCTCCCATTTATCTTCTTCTTCCCATAACTGTTACTCCGCTTCCTCAGACACGCGCTAAATAGCTTTTTCCTTTATCTGATTTTTGGTAGGTGAGAGCTTCTTAACGTGGTGTTTTTTTTATTTTCCCTGAGAGCTTCTTAATTTTTTTTTCCGCAATGTGTAGGTAGAATAACATATTTCATGTGTTTTTTCTTTAAAATTTTCTTACTTATGTAGGATCTGTATAAAAATCTGCATAACTTTTGGTACTGTACTATTTCCATCCTATATTAAATTGTTAAGCAAATTTCCTTTCAGTTAAATGAAGTTGCCGTAGTTCATATATCTATAAGTCCATTTTTTTTAACGCTATAAATAATTGATTGGTAGTACGGTTGTTAAGCTAATTAAAATCAGAATGAAGCGATCCTTTTACACCGGATTTGACAAAGATATTTTTGATTCCGTGAGCGACAACGAGTCATCTAATGCCATATATCTCAAAAATTATGGTTCCCATCTTGATTGGAGAGTTTTTCAAGGATGAAAGTGTATTACTCATGAATATACTCTATATAATTAAATTGAAAGTGCGGGATCAAATGAATTATCATCTTACTACATGTTGCCTTAATTTTTTTATAGAAATGAAGAGGTTTCTTAAAGGGAAACGGTTGGTTCATGGTAGCTCTAGCTCCCAACGTCATGTAGATGAAGTTATCTCCAGCAATCCTAAAAGTACGTCTAGGATTGCTAGGTGGCCCGAGGAGCACAATGTTGTGCTAGCCGAGCTTCTATATGAGCAATTCGTACATGGAAATATATGTAATGGTCTCTTAAGGAAGAAGTAGTCGCCGAATCTTATTAATGTCTTGAATAGACATTTGGGTACATATTACACAGATTCTTCAATCATGATTAGATTCAAAAATATGAAAGATGATTTCTGTACACTATATCAACTAACAAATCGAAGTGGTTGGGATGAGGAATTACACATACTAATTGCTACTGAAGAGCTTTGGGAGGAAATTGTTCAGGTAAATATTAAATTATGTAATTCTACTCTTGATTAACCGTACATTAAGATGACTCGTTTCTTTTACTTGTACTACAGGTTACACCAAAGCTTTCACGATATCGTTGGCATCCATTCCACTAATATGAAATTTTTGAAAAAATTTGCTCAGATAATATCGCAGTAGGTAATGGTTGCTAGATCCAATAAGACAAAATCTGCAATAGTAATTTTATGGAATGCTCGGGTAAGAATTTTAATTTGTGTAATGTTTCACTAACTACATTAAATTTTGTACCAATTCATTCATTTTTTTATTTCAGATTGCAAGTCAAAGAAATCGATCATCGTGAAAATAAATTGGCTCCTAAGAAATAGATATGAAGACATCTACATATTAAAAGCATTCTCTAATTTAATGCTTAATCTGTCATTTTGGTCAATATTGCTTTGTAATTTGCTCTTTATTGAATTTTCGATCATTTTGTGTGAACTCAAGTTTGTTTAATGATGTTTTATGCAATGATCTTCATCTCATAAATATATTTTTTAAATTTTAAATCCCTAACTTCCATAAATCCTGAAATATGTTACCAAACAGTTTCTCAGGATTTAATAGGATTTAACATATTGCATACCAAACGGTTTTCAGGATTTAACACAATTCGAATTAATAAATCCGGATTTATAGGATTTACTAAATCCCACTAAAGTTAAATCCCACTTGTTGCCAAACAACCCCTAAGTCCCTAAGTCTTCCCTACTTCTGTAAGCAAAAAAAAAAGAAAAACCCTTTCTCACATTTTTTTCTTGTCCTGTCCACCGCCTGCATCTTTTGGCCTAGGTCGTTCTCCCATTTTATTATGAACCTCTTAGATTTTCTTGATCTACATGATAAATCTCCTTCGCAAACAATCTCACCCCCATCATTGAACTGGAAAGGTCTTCTTACCTCTCATACCACTCTTGCAGTGAAATTTGCTCTCCGTTACATTCCATCTAGTGAAGAAAAAGTTTATTTCTTTGGTGAAGAAATTTATGATGGCTCCTGAGCTTGGTACTCTGCTCTTGTTGGGTATGTCATCGACGAATAAGTTTTTTATTATAATCTTTTATTTGCTGTTAAGAAAATGTGGAAACTAACGGGATCATTTGAACTTTTGTCCTTTCAAGTTAATATTTTTGTGTAAGGGCTATTTGAATTGCTAAAAAGGAATCTAATGTAAAAGGAATTCATTGTAAAATGAATACAGTGTAAAAATAATACTTTGGAATTATTTGAATGAGTGTATAGTAAATTCAAGTGAATGATTTTTTTGTTTGATTTGGAGCAAAATGAATGTATTGTAAAGTTTAGAAATGACAGCCAGCGGCAGGTAATGATGTTGCGGAGGGAGGTGGTGGCTGACTGTTTGGGGTGTTTGGAGGGTGGCAGTGGTGGTGACTGTCGATGGTTGGCGTTGGTGGTGGCTGGAGGGTGGAGGCGGCGGTGGTAGTGGTCGGAGGTTGGTGGTGGTTATGGCTGGCGGTGGTGGTGGCCATAGGGTGGCAGTGGTAGCTGCTTGCGGGGCAGTGGCGGTGGTTGCTGGCGGGCAGTGGCGGTGGCTTGAGGATGGTGAAGGTTGCCGACAATGGTGGTCGGCAACAGTCAAGCGAGCTTACTTACAGTGTAAAGCGTTCTTGCTTAAAACTGAGTGAGTTTGATTTACCTCAAAAATGAATTAGAATGATTTACACTATATATACTTTATTTTGAATTTCTTTTTTATCCAATCTAACACCAAAATTGATAAAACCCCTGAATTTAGAACACTTTACACCCTAAAGTATTTTAACCAAATAGCCCCTTAAGTTTTCGTGCCTTTAAGTCCTCAATGGAGGGCCTTGGTTGCTTAATGGGAGATCCTTCATCTTTAAAAGATGATATCCTAAATTCACTCTTATTAAGGAAGGATTTAAGGATGTTTCAATTTGGGTTAAGACCCCTAGTTCACCACCTTGTTGTTAGTCAATGGCCGGGATTTAAAAAATTATGAGCAAGATTGGTATTCCTTAATGGGATTAAATTCTTTATACACACAACCCTGATCTTATCATAGTTCTTTTTTTTTTTATATTTTAATTTTTTTTTATGAACTATCTCGTCCTACATTTCCCCGTGTTAGCATTCAAATCCCTACGTCTACTATTTTGCCCAATGACATAAATATAACTTTCAATAATAACATAAATATTAATATTTGTAGTAAAGACTTATGTCTTCCTATCATGTACGGATAGAAGCCATGTATTTGTTTGAATTATGATATATTTTCTCACGACAATAACTCCTGCCCTAAATCCACCAATACCATTAAGTCATGGCCCCTCCAATGGTATCGGTTGACTTAAGTGGAGAAGTTATGGTTGTCAACCACTAAATAGGTTTTAAAGCACCACCATTAACTTAAACCCAATACAGAGTGAATCCTCTCCCAACCTCATAAATTAATCCTTAATTAGAGAGCGAGGGTTCAAGCAGCTCTAACAACCAATAATTTGTCTTCCCAACATTCTTATATGGAATGATAGGGGCTTAATGGTGGTATCCATGGTATCCATGTTATGGATTATCGAAACATGATTAAAAACCTTAATATTGATGTCTTCTAGTAATTAATGCTTCATTTGGGACGACTTTTTTATTGCTTTTTAGAATAGAGTTTTAGTACTAAAGTTTTGTTTTAAGAAGCATTAAAAGAGTCATCCTAAACGAAGACTAAATTCATTCCTCTTGAGGCAAGTTGCTAGAATTTTTAAGCCTCTTCTCATGGACATATTTGAGTTAAATGGAATACAGCTGTTGTCACATTTAATTATCTCCAAATTCATCTTCAACTTATTCATAAACAATTATTATTTTCCCCCACTACTTATAACATGATTACTTTTATTTATATTGATAATAATATAAGTTTGTATATGAGTTTAAAATTAAAATTTAGTAATTATTTAGAAGAATTAATACAAAAGATACCTCTTGAAGAAAAAAAATTTTATTGGATGAGATTTAAATGGACATGTTGGTAGAAAGGTATATGATTTTAAAAGTATTCATGGTGGCCATAGGTTTGGAACGAAAATTCAAGGTAGTAAGATCATATTATATTTTTTATTAGCTTATGATTTATTAATAGCTAATATCTTATTTAAGAAAAGAGATGAGCATCTTATCACTTATAAAAATGGATATAGTAAAACACAGATTGATTATTTTCTTATTAGAAAATTAGATCGTATAGATTGCAAAGATTGTAAAGTTATTCTAAGTGAAAATTTTTGTACCCAATATCGATTATTAGTTTTAGACTTTAAGATAAAGTGATAGAAAATAAAATAAAATAATTTTTAAAGATTAGATGGGGGCATTTAAAGATTATTATTAAAAGTATTTTTGATAGTAAGAGTGATAGAAAATAAAATAAAATAATTTTTTAATATTAGATGGGGGCATTTAAAGATTATTAATAAAAGTATTTTTGATAGTAAGATTTTAGATCATAAGATTTTGTCTATGCATGAGAATGTTAAAATTATGTGAGAAAAAGTGATTTGTGATATTAATAATATTGCAAAAGATGTGCTTGAACTTTCGTAGGGAAAATCTTTTAATAATAAAAATAGTTGGTGGTAGAATCCAAATATGCAAGGAAAGATAAAAAATAAGAAGATTTATTATAAAAATTAGTTTAGATGTAAAAATTCCTATAATTGGGAAAGCTATAATTGGTGGGAAAAAATTGTGTATCACCCGCAGATTTTGATTTATCCTATTTTGTAATCGAATACTGCATTGAGAATAAAATACAATCTCGAGAGATTGACATAATATTCTATAATAGATTCAATATCAAAATAGGGTTTTGAAAATTGATATTTCTATAATCAAACATAGTTCAAAGAATAACATATCATCCCAAAAGATTAATTTGAGATTCTATAGAATATGTTTAAAGATAGAAATACGCTTTTGAAAAAGTTTATTCATTCTTTTATTTAGATATTACAAGAAGAATATTATATCATCTTAAAAGACGAACATAACATTCTTCAAGATATTCAAAAGCGAGAATGAGTTTTATAAAATTCATCATTTCTAAAGTTGAATATAATAAGTATAATATTATATTATCTGAAAAGATAAAATCAACATTCTACAAAGTCTATTCAAAATTAGAAAAGAGGTTTTTTTTTTAATATCTACGTTCCCAAATTTCTTCCTTGTTTATATGAAATAAAACAAGGTTTATTTATTTTGGAGTTCTCAAATCCCATATAGAGGCAAGTCCCTATAGTTAATATATATCTTAGGAGGAATGCTCCTAAGAACTCTCGATTAAAGCAGTGATTTCATACCCTTTTGACTACAAAGTAGAAGACAAAGAAACAGAAGTAAGTATTTTCAAAGGAAAAAACTCAATGCTTGAACATTTATTAGCGAGTCAAAGGATGAAAAGTAGGAGGTACCGGATTCTGAGAAAACTCAGAGGGCAACCTCAGTCTTATCATATGTTGGGCTTTACATTTTAAGAGAGAAATTTTCTGTTTAAGTTGACATTTTATTAGAAATTTGGGATTATATTCCCGAAGGGCGAGACTTAAGATCTAAAAAGAATCTGCTCAGAACCTAAATCTAATTTGGGTACTATAAAATAGTGACCCGACCTAACTAATTGAAGTGTAAATTCGGACTTATCCCGGCCTGGAATTGGGAGGCAAGCTAACCACCTAGGCGCTTTAGAACCATGTGTCCAGTCTCTATGAAAGATGAGTAGGGATGTTGTTTAAGTTTTAAGGAATTGAGGGACGACATCTATGACAATTCCTAATTGGCCCTCAATTTAGTATGGTGAAAAATGATCTAGCAATGCAATTAATATTTTTAGACTATTTTAGTTTATCTAATGCAATGCATGCCTAATTGACTCGAATGCATAAAATGAATATGAAGCAGTTTTAAAAATAGTTTAGAAAATAAGTTTTTCCCTAAAGATTGTACAACTTTCCTTGACAGAACTGCACCCTCATAGGTCAAGTGGTTTGCCAGAACCCGCAAGCGGGGAGGTGCCTAACAAGGAAGAGAAAGTAATAATATGCTTATGCTGACTCTCGGCGGTCCCGAGCTTACTTCTTAGATCGTTAGAGTTCTATGTGAGCCTAAATTTTTTTTATAAAAATACAAGTAGAAGAATTTAAAGCATACCCTTACGAAAAAAAGCACTCTGATTCATATCCAGGCTAAAACAAAACACGACATGCAATGACCCTAAAAAAGCTACTGCACAAACAATGTAAACAATCAAATTTAATATATCTATAATATTCAATGTCCAATGTCCATATTACACCCAGAATTTGCAGAAAAGTAAAGTGGCCGGCACCACTGACAACAAACCCGGATTCTAATCCTAAGAATGACGCAAGTGATTTTTGAACTGGGATATACTGTTCCTT